GAAGATGGAGCAGAGGGCGCAGAATATAACAGGACGCAGAGAAGATGGAGCCGAGGACGCAGAGAAGAGGGAGCAGAGGGCGCAGAATAGAACAGGACGCAGAGAAGATGGAGCCGAGGACGCAGAGAAGATGGAGCCGAGGACGCCAAATATAACAGGACACACAACCCACTCTACTCACTGGATAATTGCTGCTGTAGCTGTCGCACGAGAGCCGCCGTCTGTTGCTGCTGCTGAGTCTGCTGGAGGCCTTGTCTCTGAAACTGAAAAGGTAAAATGCTGAAAACACGCAAGAGACGTCTACAGGTCATCGGAGGACGGGGAGGACGGGAAGGACGGGGAGAGCGGGGAGAGCGGGGAGAGCGGGGAGAGCGGGGAGAGCGGGGAGAGCGGGGAGAGCGGGGAGAGCGGGGAGAGCGGGGAGAGCGGGGAGAGCGGGGAGAGCGGGGAGAGCGGGGAGAGCGGGGAGAGCGGGGAGAGCGGGGAGAGCGGGGAGAGCGGGGAGAGCGGGGAGAGCGGGGAGAGCGGGGAGAGCGGGGAGAGCGGGGAGAGCGGGGAGAGCGGGGAGAGCGGGGAGAGCGGGGAGAGCGGGGAGAGCGGGGAGAGCGGGGAGAGCGGGGAGAGCGGGGAGAGCGGGGAGAGCGGGGAGAGCGGGGAGAGCGGGGAGAGCGGGGAGAGCGGGGAGAGCGGGGAGAGCGGGGAGAGCGGGGAGAGCGGGGAGAGCGGGGAGAGCGGGGAGAGCGGGGAGAGCGGGGAGAGCGGGGAGAGCGGGGAGAGCGGGGAGAGCGGGGAGAGCGGGGAGAGCGGGGAGAGCGGGGAGAGCGGGGAGAGCGGGGAGAGCGGGGAGAGCGGGGAGAGCGGGGAGAGCGGGGAGAGCGGGGAGAGCGGGGAGAGCGGGGAGAGCGGGGAGAGCGGGGAGAGCGGGGAGAGCGGGGAGAGCGGGGAGAGCGGGGAGAGCGGGGAGAGCGGGGAGAGCGGGGAGAGCGGGGAGAGCGGGGAGAGCGGGGAGAGCGGGGAGAGCGGGGAGAGCGGGGAGAGCGGGGAGAGCGGGGAGAGCGGGGAGAGCGGGGAGAGCGGGGAGAGCGGGGAGAGCGGGGAGAGCGGGGAGAGCGGGGAGAGCGGGGAGAGCGGGGAGAGCGGGGAGAGCGGGGAGAGCGGGGAGAGCGGGGAGAGCGGGGAGAGCGGGGAGAGCGGGGAGAGCGGGGAGAGCGGGGAGAGCGGGGAGAGCGGGGAGAGCGGGGAGAGCGGGGAGAGCGGGGAGAGCGGGGAGAGCGGGGAGAGCGGGGAGAGCGGGGAGAGCGGGGAGAGCGGGGAGAGCGGGGAGAGCGGGGAGAGCGGGGAGAGCGGGGAGAGCGGGGAGAGCGGGGAGAGCGGGGAGAGCGGGGAGAGCGGGGAGAGCGGGGAGAGCGGGGAGAGCGGGGAGAGCGGGGAGAGCGGGGAGAGCGGGGAGAGCGGGGAGAGCGGGGAGAGCGGGGAGAGCGGGGAGAGCGGGGAGAGCGGGGAGAGCGGGGAGAGCGGGGAGAGCGGGGAGAGCGGGGAGAGCGGGGAGAGCGGGGAGAGCGGGGAGAGCGGGGAGAGCGGGGAGAGCGGGGAGAGCGGGGAGAGCGGGGAGAGCGGGGAGAGCGGGGAGAGCGGGGAGAGCGGGGAGAGCGGGGAGAGCGGGGAGAGCGGGGAGAGCGGGGAGAGCGGGGAGAGCGGGGAGAGCGGGGAGAGCGGGGAGAGCGGGGAGAGCGGGGAGAGCGGGGAGAGCGGGGAGAGCGGGGAGAGCGGGGAGAGCGGGGAGAGCGGGGAGAGCGGGGAGAGCGGGGAGAGCGGGGAGAGCGGGGAGAGCGGGGAGAGCGGGGAGAGCGGGGAGAGCGGGGAGAGCGGGGAGAGCGGGGAGAGCGGGGAGAGCGGGGAGAGCGGGGAGAGCGGGGAGAGCGGGGAGAGCGGGGAGAGCGGGGAGAGCGGGGAGAGCGGGGAGAGCGGGGAGAGCGGGGAGAGCGGGGAGAGCGGGGAGAGCGGGGAGAGCGGGGAGGACAGGAGAGCAGGGAGGACGCTCATATAACGGAGGCTCGGGTGGCGCCATTATGGCTTCTGCAAGTCTAACATGATTCCCGGAGGACATCGAGATCCCCATCAAGCTCTACAAAACCTCATATGTCCTCCACATGGTGGGGGTGGTGCATGGCACTGGGGCACGCATCCTGGCTGTCACCACCTACAATACAGCAGAGGCTCCGCCTGGTTCTATTGGATGGATTTCACCCTGAGGAGTCCAGACCTCCCCACTGGATCGAGTTCTGCAGACACAAATGCCACTGTCCTCCTATACAGCAGGATCGTCCTACGTCCCCCCCCCCCC